TTTTTTTTTGTCCTTTTTGAGACCGGCCGCACCTCGCCCAGCCAGTGAGCGCACTGGTCATCCCTATATAGGATCCGAACCCGCGGCGGGAGCGCTGCTGTGCTACAGCGCCGCACTCTCCCGAGTGCACCGCGGGCTCGGCCCTGAAAACATATTTTTAAAAAATTTTTATCTTTATTTTTATTTTGGGAAGGGACACTGGGAGAGGTTGGCCAACAGGTAAAGTTGCAGTTAGGAAGGAAGAACAAATTCTAGTGTCCCATTGCACAGTAGGGTGACTATAGTCAACAAAAAGGTATCTGAAGATAGCTAGAAGAGAGGATTTTGAATGGTCCCGGAAATATTTTTAAGCTCTCCGGGAGCGGGAGACTGATCCGGCATGGCCAGGGAGGCCCATGTAGGGCGCCCTCGAAAAATTTTTAAGGCCCCCTCTGGAGGCCGGATCAGCCTGGGCCACTCAGAGGATTCCGTGGAGGGCGAACCAGGCCACCCTCCGACCGTCGTGCGCCGAGATACCCGGTTCGATGAGGCCCGGACGCGGTGGCGCCTCGGGGTCCGTCCGGGTCGCGCCGGGTGTCGCGCGCCCCCTGGTGGCCGCTTTTATATCGTTCCCGGCGCTCGGTTCCCGCGCGCGTGGGACGGGGACCCGGCGAGTTCCAGGAGGCCGGTAGCGACGGCAGGGTCGTCCCGGCTGCGACACGCGTCGCCTCAGAACGGGTTCTCCTGAGATTGTTACTGCAGGGCAGGGAGAGCGGCATCGGGGAATGGCGCGGGCTGGCTGACGAGTGCACGGAGGTCCCTTCCGCCTGTGGGGACCAACTTGTGCTGTCGTAGTGACCGACATAGGGAGCCCTGGGCTCGGCCGCTTTTCTACCCGGTGCCAGGAGGTGGACAGCGCCACCCGAGAATTTTTCTAGGTTCCCCTAATGGGGCTGGGATCGTGGCCAGGGAGACCTGGGAGGGCACCCCACTCTTGGCCGCAGGCCTGCATGGGGCACCGTCGCCGAAAGTGCGTCCTGAAATTTTTTCCAAGTCCCCTTCTTAAGATGGGACACTGGCCCAGGCTGACAGGGAAACCGAGGGACGGCACTCAGGTCCCGGCTGCAGTTCCTGTGGGGCCATTCATTGGACACCCTCCAAAAACCTATGTAAGAACCATCTCTGGCCAAACAGGTCGTTCCAGGGGTGGGTACCTTGGACCAGGTCTGAAACACCTGCTGGCAACGTTTCCAATTCGTGGCAGGGAGAGCTGGCCCTGGCGGGACAGGGAGGTTCTGAGTAAGATGCCTAGACGATTCATTCCCCTCTGGGCCTTCCAGAAAGTTTTCTAAGTCTCCCTCGGGAGGCTGAATCCTTTCTGTGCTAGAAAAGAGGCCGGAGGAGGTTGCTCTTGGCAAGACAGCAGTCCTGTGTGTGGCCCAGTCAGTAATCACCTGCACCTCCTATCTGTCCCTTGAATATGTTTCCAGGATCCCCTGCGGGAGGGCTAGGGACTCCTGTGATCATGTGCAGGGGGCCTGTTTTTTCTAAGTATCCCTCATGAGGTAAGGACTGGCCAGGCCAGCAGTGGAAGCCCAAGGAGGACAGACCTGGCCCAGACATGGTCCTGCATAGGGCCAGGTCTCTAGTTGCACCTTCTGAAAGTTTTGCAAAGTTTCCCTGCAGAGAGGGGAGACCGGGTCCCTGGTCCTGCATGCAGGCAGGTTGTAGGAAGTACCTCCTGAACACATTTCAAGTCCCCACTTGTGGTGGAGACCGGCTTATCTGGTCACTGATGACTGGGGAAGGCACCCCAGGTCTGGTCATAGTGTTGCATGAGTTTCCAAGTCCCCCTGGCCTGGGCCAGCTAGGGACATATTGTCAGGGCACCTGACACAGCTGTGGTCCTGCGAGGGGCCTGGTTGTTGGAGTTGCTCCCCAGCAGTTTTCCTTGTCCCCTTTTGGAGGCTGGGACTAGCCTGAGCTGGACAGGGAGACACAAGGAGGGAACCACAAGTCAGCCAGGGTCCCATGAGGGGTTTGCTTTTCTATTCGCTTTTCCCTCAAATTTTTCTAGGCCCCCTCTGGAGTGGGGACAGTCTGAGCCTGGTAGGGACACTGTGGGAGAGTTCCCTGGGCCCAGCTGCTATTCCATGTGGGGCCCTGGTCATCAGATGTGCTTCTTGAATTCTCTTCTGTCTCCCTCAAGTTGGGAAGGGCATGGGCCATGTCTGGCCAGGGAGGCCAAGGCAGGTGCCAAAGGTGTGGCCACGGTCCCACGTGGGTTCCATTCATTTGGAACATCTCCCAAAAAGTTTTCTAAGTACTCTGCTGGAGGGCATCCAGAGCCAGAGCACAGCCTTGTGCAGGTTCTGTATTAGTGTCCTAGGGATGCTGTAACAAAGTATCCCAGACTAAGTGGTTTTTAAATGACAGAAATGTGTTGTCTTACAGTTCTGGAGCCTAGAAGTCCAAGCTCAAGGTGTGGGCAGGGTTGGTTCCTTCTAGGGACTGTGAGGGCGAATGTCCATGCTCTCTCCCAGCTTCTGGTGTTTGCTGGCAATCTTTGGTGTTTCTTGGCTTGTAGAAGCATCACCCCGGTCTCTTTCATCTTCACAGTATTCTGCTGGTGTGTGTGTCTCTGTCCAATTCTCTACCCCCACCCCTTTTTTGGTGGCTGGCTGGTACAGGGATCAAACCCTGGACCTTGGTGTTATCACCACCATGCTATAACCAACTGAGCTAATTGGCCAGTCCCAAATTTCCCCTTTTTCTAAAGACCCATTCATAATGAATAGGGGCCAACTCTAATGACCTTATCTTAATTAATTATATCTGCAATGACTCTATTTCTAAATTAGGCCACATTTTTTGGTACCACAGGTGGGAGAGGGGGAAGGAGTTAGGATTTCAACCCATAACAGGTTCCAGGCATTGGTGGTGTGTTGCTCTGCCTCCCACAGATTTGTCACCCCTCTTCCCCTGGGTGATGGGGCCACAAAGGATTACTCAAAGCCCATCTCTTCTGAGCAGTGAGAAGCCCCAAAGGGGTTAATCTCCCGGAACCCTCAAGAGAGAGGCATTCCTTCCATTTGGGAAATTAACCATGAATTGGGGTTCTCTTCCCACATTTATTCTCCAGACCAGGAAGTTACAGGAAGAGAACATAGGTGGGGTTATAGTTTAACAATATAGGCTGGTAACATTTAGTAAAAGAAGCAAAGTGACATTCCATAATGCAATTTGCAAGAGGTTAAGTCGATCCACCAAAAAAAAGCTTGATCTTAGCAAACATTCTCTCTCCCTACAGCAGTTTCCCGGTACCTTTACGTATCAATCAGTAACTTGTCTGTCCTTTAGCCAGCAACCTAGCTAGGTTACAATTCTTTATCTTACAACAGAGACTGTAGTCTGGAGAAAATTTCCTGTCTTTTGCAAGGTCAACATTTTATATGTACTTTTAAGAAGTTAGGCTAAACTTGAAACTACAGGGAACTAAACTCTGTGAAATATATTTGCTTTATAAATGTAAGTATACTCCACAGTGGTGCTTCTATAAAGTTTTCTTAGTCCCCTATCATAAGGTGGGACTGGCTGGGCCAGACAAGGAGGGTCCTGGAGAGCTCCCTGGCCACCTCATGTCTTGGGGACCCCGCTTTTAGGATATGCTTACCCCAAATATTTTTGAGATCCTCTCTGAAGAGAAGGACCAGTCTAGGCTGAGCAGGGAGGCCAGGGAGGGCACCTTGGGACCAGACATGATACCTACTGGTGCTTGGTTGTGGAAGATACCCCCCACCCCGCAGAAATGTTTCTAACTCTCCCTCTGGTTTTGGGGATGTTTCC